CCGCCGGGGGTTAGTGATTCGGTTTTGTGCGACGGGAAAGCTCCATGTAAATGGATCTGTGATGGCGTTTGGCTGACTGCGGACCGCGGAGCTGAGAGATGGGCTCCTGTTATTAAATTAGACTGGGATTTATGATATATCCCAGTCTATGTAGTGCCGAGCTCATGGAAGGAGCAAGAAAGTAAATTAAACTGCTGGGAAAGTGTTTACTTTTAAATCAGTTTATCTTTTTATTTTCTTTATGCTTTCGGTCAAGCGTTTTGCTCCTTTCTGATCCCTTTACAGTTCAAGATTTAATTGGCTTTTATTGTTTTCCAAAAAAGACACACTTCCCACTCAAATCGTGAAAAGCCTTTATTAAACTGGCTATTTCATACTGTTCGCTTTTATAAAAGAGAACAAATAATGGGCTGCAAAGAACACCTTCAGACATATTTTATGGAGCTTCTGATCACACCGGATTTTGACTTTTATTAGGCTATGTCTTTGCTTTTGCATTTTCAGTCCCATTTTGCTTTGAAAAGCGCCTGGTTTCATCTGTGTTTTGGTAGGTGAAATATTGCGATTTGTTCTCAAACTCGCTCCGTATTTGAAGCGTTCCATATGTGTTATGCAATCCACTGAGAGACGGTCTGTGTGTGTTTTCCTGACTGAGGGAGGGATACAAATGTGTGCGTGCATTGGGCATGTTTTGCTTGTTGACGTTAATTGCATTATATGAGTCACTTTGGAATATAAGTCGCAGCATGTTTCATATGATAAAAAACGCGACTTATGTTTCAATATGTTCATCACTGTTACAAGATTTATGTATAGGATAACGAGTGATTCCTTACGTTATTACAGGAAAACACCTTGTGTTTACGGTACTGAACCGCCGCAATGGAGTAGCTCTAATGCTATTAAATTAAAGATGAAGTACCACAGAGCAAAAAAAAAATGAACAGTGAAAGTAACAAAAGCTTGTAGAATACATTTTAATGGGCATAATTAAGTGTGAAAATAACTGAAAGAAATATCTATTTGCTAAATGAACTTCGACAATTAACATTATACATATCCTTTTGGTTTCTGTAACCAGTATTTTTAAAAATTACAAATGCATTGAAAATACAGGTATCGGTATCGGCAAGTACCAAAAATAAAAGTATCTGTATAGGCTAGGAGTGTAACGGTTCACAAAATTCACGGTTCGGTTCGATACGACACAGTGGTGTCATGGTTCGGTACGTTTTCGATGGGGGGGAGGGGTAATTGGTTACGTCGCAATGTTGGAAATATTTCTGTTTTAAACCATGAAGGCGAGCCACACAAGCACGCGTTTGCACACGTGCAAACTTTGCGCAAGAGTAATGCGTCTTAATCTCAGTCAATTCACTATGCAGAAAGTGAAAGTAAAAACGGAATGATGGAGCTTTCGGCATCTGACGCCGCATATTCTCTCAGAGACGATGAGACGAATATACTTCAACATATGCTGATAACGGTATAGCTGTCTTCATTTATTCCCTTAATATTTCTCTTGTGGCCTGTACATAGTGAAAAAAAATGAGAAGAAACATATTTCGTGTTAAACAGGTTGTTTTTGAAAGTCAGTGCTTGAAATAAAAGCTTTTTATTTCATTGATTTTTATTGATGACTGCAGTGTTAATATTTTAATTATAGGACTATAATTCATTGTATGATAGACCTGTTTTAAAATACCTTTTTAAAAACATTTTAATTGTGGAGTAAATAGCCTAATCTTGTCCTCACAGCAGCAAATTAATTGTAATTTTAATTTAATAATAAAAGTAACTTCATAATAATAATAATAATAATAGGCCTAGGCCTAATAAAAATAAGAATGTAACAGGCCTACATTAATTGGAAATGCCAAATCCTCTTAATATTGCCAATAATTGATGTTTTTGACAATATCTCTGGCTATCGTCGATAAGATCATCGTCTTTCGACGCAACCCAGCACAGGGAGGTTATCGCGGGGCAGACAGCACTTTGCCTTGTTGAGTGCAGTGGCACTAAGAACATTATATTTCACACACTTTAAGCTCTTTTATTTACCACATGTATGCTAATAGGATTAATCCAACGAATCGTTTGGTTTGTAATGCGTACCGAACCGAAAGCCTCGTACCGAACGGTTCAATATGAATACGCATATCGTTACACCCCTAGTATCGGTCAAGTTCTGGAGAAAGTGGTATTGGTGCATCCCTGTTAATAAATGTGTGGTGCTGTTCAGGATGCCTGATGTATTTTAGTGCACTTTCTGTAGAAGGGAAAAGAAAGGCCATAGTGGCCTGGAAGACACGGACAGTGCCTTTATGTTATGTTTCAGCTTTTGTTTTTTTCCCTAAAGAAAAATATCCAACCATAGTTGTTACGGAGGAAGCAAACTTAACAATACAGTGGTTGTTGTTTGAGAAAAGACAGTAGCCTGAATAGAGAGGTAAAGAAAGATGCTTTGGTGTATGTTTTGTTGTAATGGCCTGTTTTTACTTGCAGAGTCCTGTTTTTCATTATCTGACTTTTCCTCAGGATCACAATAACCTCACATGAACTTCAACAGAGCATTTTTGTGTGATAAATTCAGATGTGACCTAATGCGAGTTCCATTGACAAGAAATCTGTCTATCAGTGGTGAATGCAAACCAGTGTCCAATCAGAAGATATTTGATGTTTAACATGCAATCATGCGGTGTAGGATTTTGGACCAATGAGATTTCTCTGTAGGCACATGGTTAGGTTGCACTACTATTGTAAAAATGTCAACTTATGTATTGTTATGGTTCTTCCAAACCAGCACTTACAATGAATGGTATGTTTTTTTAATCCATTCTCCCAATGGGATATTAAATCAGGATTTTTAATATGAAATGATGATTTAAAAAATATTACCTGTATTTTATTATAAATTGGATTAAATAGCATTAATAAACATTGTTATATTTTTTATTAAAAAAATTAATATGTATAAAATAATATTCAGAATTTTAAAATAGCTAGTATGCTTTTCAATTCAATTATATATTTATATGACTGTATATATGGTTATTGGTAATATTAATAATTATATAAATTAATATCTATATTAAGAATTATATTAGTTATATTGGTATTTATTCAGAATTCTAGTATGCTTTTCAATTCAATTATATATTTATATGACTGTATATATGGTTATTGGTAATATTGGTAATATT